CTTATTAAAACACAGCATGCTCCAAGGACATTCAGTTTAATTGTGGTTTTAACTGTGTGTACCTGGAAGAGGAGGTTGCTGCTTGACCTCCTGCCTGAGATCTGCTGGCCTGGAGCTCCCCTCCTGCAGGGCCAAGAAGCTTTTCTGGGATGAGAAGCCCTGGAGGCCACCTGCCGCTTTCTGCTCCTCCTCCATGTGCTGGTTCCTCTCTGTGCTGCCCCTCGTCCAGCTCTTCCCATGTTTCCCCTTCCACATTAATCCCTAGTAGTGCTGTACTTGCCCCAATCTCAAGTCACTCTCTAGGGGAGAGGGACGTTCAGCACTGTGTATATCAGCTCTAGGCACACAGCTTGTGACTATTTCAGTAGTAGGCCAGTAAATGGGTTTGGATCTGCAATTAGCAGTGTGTGGGCAATAACGAATGGGGTAATTATCTTCATGGCCCTTTCTGAATTCCATGGTTCATAAACTAGACAAACTCTGCCAAAAGCTGCGCCTGCTTGGCACAAGCTTTAGGTAAGAGTGAAACTGTCTCAGAGCTGCAACCTCAAAGTGTTAGTGTGGGATCTGTGTATTGGGAGCCACTAACAAGTTATCTTCTGCTTGAGGACGTGGCTTGGGAGTACCTTGGTGTTCCTTCTTGACCTTCCCATGGCCTTGCTTGATGAAAAATGTTTGAGGACGAGCTGTGCTGGATGGCATGTCTGGCTGAGCAGGGTAGAAGGAGCACTGTGTCTGCCAGCAGAGCGTGGTGCTGGCTGTGTGCTGTTGGGTACTTTGGCACAGCCACTGAGGCACTACAAGTCTGACTGATGCCATGGTGCAACTGCCCCACCATCTGGGTAAGGACCTAGCCCTGGAGTTCCATGTTGGCAGAGCGCAGCAGGGTAGTAGTATCAACTGAAACTCCCAAAAAGGGTTTTCTGGGTGTTCTTACATATCACTGTTTTCCATGTGTTGTGATATGCAGCCTAGTTGGATGAAGTCATGTTTGGATCACTATGAACTGAGAAGTCTGGGTGTGATTTGTCCAGGTGCCTTGGAAGCAGCATATCCACCCACACCATCCAGGAGTATGCTACCAAGCAGCTGGTGATTCGCTTCAGGGCCAGGCTGCTGCTGGTCCTCACCTTCTCTCCCCTTCCTGAAAGAGGCGGTGGGATGGACACAAAACCCCTGTGTGGGTGGAAAGCAGGATCGATTGCCAAAGCAAACTGTGGTCCATGCTGGCAGGGTGAGAATGGCAGGTACAGGGTGTCCTTACCAGGCTGTGCTGGTGGTTGTGGGACAGAGCTGATCCTACTTGTCTTAACACACTTACAGCGTGATCTGCATTGAATAGCAGTGCTGGAGCATCTTGTTCTTCCACTGCTTTCCCACTGACCTTTCAAGAGCCAGGGCACTTTCTGGTATCAACACAGAGAGCAGAAGTTGGAAACCCTGCCACAACCCATATCCCACGAATTTCCAAGATCAGTATACACAAAGGTGTGTATCTGACCTACTTAAAGCAAGAAAACAACCAGTAATGGCTTTCTTAAAACCCTCAAAACTATTACAGTACTGCCTTACTTTCTTTGAAGCCTTTGCAAGCCCAGAAGGGCAATGCTTATTGTCAAGAGGAGGCAAACTTTCCTAATCTCCAAACAGAGCAAATTCAGATAGGCAAGAACCTGGATCATGACCAACACTGGTATCTGATTTTGCAAAAAAGTCTACCCTTTCCTGGTCCTGGATTTGTCCATCTCTATCTATAGCCTTGACTCAGAGTCTTGCTGAAAAATGCATTATATATTGACAGTGGCGCTTTGTGAACTCAGAGCTAATGGCTCCAGAAATAGCCACCTCGGAGATATCATAGTCTAACTTCTGCATATATTGTCTGACATTTGCTTTGCACAGCTATGAATGACAGTTTTAAACACAATGAAGTGGAGACTGAAACCCAATAATTGTGATTTACCACACCGGAGAAATTGTTGGTGAATGTAAAATTTCAGGAGACAGTGTGGTAGTGTGTCTTGGGCTAAGAGTCCTTTTTGTTAGGGTTGTGGTCGGTCTTCAGAGAACCGAACTGTTAGCATTTAGTAAAGTTGAGCTCTGATGGTTTAGAAACCTCATTTAATCTCTGGCTCATCAGATGGTCTTCCGCTTTCTGAATCTCTCTGTGTCCTTTCATTCGAAACAGGTCTGCACACATCTTGAGAATTCGGAGGCGAAGGCAGACGGATAATTGCAGACCTTAGGGGGTCCCTGATTTGGTACCAACCACAACTTCTGCTGAGCCCCAGCTGTGCCCTGCCCATGGGGGTTTGGGAGCCTTGGTGGTCCCTTGCCTGCAGCCCTGATGCCCAGCCCTGGCACCCCAAGGGAAAAGCTGCCCTGCTCTTAGCAGGGGTGAGCCCATGGCTCGCAAAATCATTTCCCTGTTTCCACTGTCTTTTGAAAAGATAATTTCCTTCTTACTGTCAATAATGTAAATCCCATAATATGATTAGTGCACAGAATACCAGTAAATAATTTAGGAAGCAGCCTCTGTTTAGAGTGCATCAAATACTAATATAGAGGAGGAAAATTCCCCACACATCAGTTACAGTAATTGGTAGAAGGCACCAGTCCGGATGGTAATGAGCTCCATTTTTAAAGCACGAGGAAATTAGATTCTTATAAACGTCAAATGCAGTTATTGTCCTCTTTCCTTGAAACAGAGCTGAGTTGGCTGGAGCCCATTGTCTCTCAATCTGCTTTGCTATGGATTAGACACATCCCATCTCACACCAGGAATGTGCTTATTAGAAAAAATATCACTACACAAAGCATACAAGCTTTAACACTCAACTGATGTACTAATGGGTACATGTACAATAAAACCTAATATCATGTTACAAACCTTAAGCTGACCTGCAATAATATGATACAGAAATCTTAAAGGATACAGATGAGTGTTTCCTTTGTGTGCTACAATTCTGACTACCTGGGATTTTAGTTTTCAAATAAAGGAGATAAAGTGAGGGAAGGTGACTTCTCCTCTTGGCTACTTACAAAAAAAGCAAGCAGTAAGTCGTCTTCATAGTGCATATGCTTGTAACGAGGTCACGTCGAAATACTTTGTGTATTTTAGTGGTATCTCCTGGGTAACTGTGGCTTCACAGAAGACTTTCTCCATCCACTTTTTTTTCAGTTTTCTCCTGGAAAAAAAAGTAAGAGGTGGTTATTTGTTCATACATCAAAGCTAGCTCTGTGAATTAGCCTTTCATTCATTGCAAAATCTCACCAGTATGTGTTAAGACTCCACACTTCAGAAAAATGGATATCAGTTGTTTGGGAAGAATAAAATGTGAGGAGGATAGAGGGCTTTATAAAATCAAACCCCTTTGCTGCATCCCTACTTTTAACTTATTACTTGAGGATAACAGTCACTTGTCCCTCCTTAGCTAGAGATTGCACCGTGCTTTCTCTCCAGGATAGGACCTCTGTTGCAAAGTGGCACAGTCCTTCCTGATGTGGGAAGGCTTAAGGATGGAGCTAAGATCTTGATTCCCTTTTCCAGTGATGAGGATACAGACTCAAGCTACTTATGTGGACTTTAGCACATACTAACCCAAACTTTGAATGAGGCAGTGGGCTGCTTCCAAAATGGTCGTGTGTCAAACACATACTGGGGACATGCTACATTGGAGACCCTACTCAGGACTGTTGCAGGGATGGCTTTAAAGGTGATGTGGTAGGAGTAATGTGAGCCTGTTTCAGTGCAGGAAGCTCAGCTATATGCAAAACCAAATGGGCTATCAGTTTTGGGGTTTGTTTTTCCAGAATCCTGTATTTACAAGTTTTTTTCCTTCCAGTTGCCTTTTTAATAATGTTGACTTCCTTCTGATCTTCTCCATCTCAGTTTGTGCTCCTTTTTTAACTTCTGCTGAATGAAGTTCCCAGTGTTGCCCATAGAAAACAAACAGTAACTTGAGACTTTTATTTTACACAAGCAATGGATATTGAAAGATATTCCTAGCATATGTCACCAGACGCGTGAACAGCACTTTCCAATAAAAACTCTAGGAATTTCTGCTGGTTGCTTAAAAACCCTGCAAAACATTGAAACATAGACTTGAATCCATTAACACCCATCGTGGAAAAAAGATCCAGCTATTTATATGGTAGTCATTTTATTTGTTTAAATTTGGTTTCATAAGCTAAAATGAGCTCAACTGTTGGGGAAAACCATCTTGAGTATCATATAAATATCTTCAAAGCCTGGAACAGAGCCCGCAAGTAGGGATGCTAGAGTTGCTTCTGTTGATATATAGTGCTGGAAGACAAGTACCATGTCACCTACTTTAGTTTCCTATGTTTCTTCTAGAAATGCTTAATTTATCACATTAAATAGATATTATATTAAATAGATAAATGACTAATGGGATATGCAAGGACATGAAGGGTCTTGTGATTCTGTAGCAAGGCAGCTCAAACATGCAAGGAGAACCGGTGCTCAGTAAAGTTTCAAAACTGTAAAGAAAATGAACATTTACTTATATGGGGATTATTTTTTTTCCCCTGTCTGAAGAGGGACTTGGGGTAGAGCAGCCACCTCTGTGGCTGGTAGAGCCACGTCTTGTGTCGGAGCAGTGTGGAAGGAGAGAACATCACTTCTCTGCTGGTGTTTCTTCCTGCTCAAGTCCAAGGGACAGGGTTTGCAAGAGAGGATATTACTGTGCAGAGGGACCAGACTTAACGTGTTTTGGACTCCTCGTCTGTCTCTCCTGCATGCTGCATGATTCCCATGCAAAGGCAAGAGCCTGATCACTGCTGCTTGACATCCCTTTCCTCCAGACCACAAAGGTCTCTGGAGAGAGTTAGGGAAGTGCAATGGGCAGGGACAGTGCCATCTGCCTTGCTAAAGGCATGTTAAAGGACTTTAATTCTTCTTAACAAAATGTATTTGTGGTAGTTTTTTTAAGTTTTTGAATGGTACAATATATTTTAAACAACTTCCTTTTAAACAGGTTGAAGCTGTGAAGAGAGTACTAGAAAGTCTCAACCTCAATATAGTAGAGATGGTAGACGAAAACGCAACGTTGGATGGTGGAGATGTCTTATTTACAGGTATAGTGGTAATGAATTTGCCGTTTACAGATTCTTACTGCCTCGAAGACCGCGTGTTATGTCATCTGTATAATTAAATGTCATTCGTGCAGTTTGTTAAATCAGTTGTTTACTAAATGTCATGAAGGTAGCTGAGAAATGAGTTTTCAGTGCAACCCTTGATGTCCTACCTAATGCCTGAATAAATGAAGTAGCAGTACACACAGTACAAAGAGCAGCACTGTGCATACAAATTTTATTTTAGCTTGTAAAGTGCCAATAAGAAAAATGCTTTCAGTAGTCAACTGTCTGCAGTTGTTTCATATTTCTTATTACAAGCAGCTACGTTCACAAGTCTAATTTTCAGGACTTGTAAAAGCTTGATGCAGACAATTGTCACTAGTTCAATGAATCAAATGCAAAAAGTGCATTTTTAGTTTATGGAGGAAGTGGTAGAGTTGCCTGCCAGATGTCATGTGCTAGACAACTTATATGCATGGTTGACTTCAAAGATGAAGATACTGACTGTGTTTTTTATGTCATTAAACCCATTAGGCATTTTCTCACATCGGCTGCACACACGCTTGCTCCCTGCCTCTGCTGAATGAGCCTGTTTATTTCGATCAGCATCACAGTAGACTGGCTGCTTGCCTTAGCTCACCAAGGGGAAAGAAGGGTCTCAAAAGAGGCAGACCGGGAAGGAAGGCCTTTCTAAGGCAGTGCAGATCCAGCACTGATTTCCTCTGGAGCTGGAGGATCCAGTGGCTGCTGAGTGCCTTTGAGACCAGAGGAAATCTCAGAGGGAGAGGGAAATGGTCAATCAGTGCTGTACTAATCCAGCCCAGCTGTTCTCTTTCCTGACTCAGTGACCATTGCAGAGCTTTAGAAGAGGAAGCTATTTATGCTTCTGGTGAAATGTGTCTTCTGGAAGAAGATAATTGCTTTAATTATCAGCTTGCAATTACAGGTTGCATTATTCTGTGCTGAATTTTCAGTTTTACTACTCAACTTGAGAAAAAAAAGATAGAAAATTATATTCATAAAAGATTGCTTCAAAATGTCTCTAAAGCTGTCCTGGTTTAAAATGTGTATGTTCTGATGAAGGAGCTGATGTGGTGATTTTTTTGGATGGCTTGGGGAAAAAAAAAATGCTGTAATTGTTTTGCCCTTCATTTTTTTTCATTCCAGGAAGAGAATTTTTTGTGGGTCTTTCCAGGCGGACAAATCAACGTGGTGCAGAAATTCTGGCTGACACGTTTAAGGTTTGTAGATTCATTACTACCATATGAAATATAAGCTATCGCCCACTGAACAAATTTAAAATTATACGGGCCAAGATGTTTGACATAATCAGGTGTTTTATTTAGGACTTATTTAAAAGAAAAAAAAAAAAAAAAGGATACAAGTTACTGAAAAGGTTTGAGCATCCTGTAAAGTGACAGATGCTGAAGTTGAATCTGAAATGTGAGATCACTACATGAAAGTAACTTGGATAGTGGGAGGCTGTTATTATTTGAGAGCATATCAACACCCACATTCTTAATGTTCTCATGTATTAGCAATGCGTTTGTATTGCTGGTTCCTTGAGAGATTTTATGTACATACTGTTTAATTATGCATTTTAATGTATTTCTTTGCAGTTGCAACAATAGTAGTGTTTGAAACATGTTCTGGATTTTACTCCAGTGCAACAGACAAGACAGGCTGGTCCAGAGGGGTATGTCGTACTTAAACAGTTGACACTGTACCCTGGGATATGTTGCTATTGTTAATTTGCAGAGAGCAAAATTAATTATGGAATGTCTCAATATAATTATGGAACTAGGACAATTTAAAAGTATTTATAGCAACCGTTCTTTGCTTCCCATATAGGATTATGCGGTCTCCACAGTCCCTGTTCATGATTCTTTGCATCTGAAGAGCTTTTGCAGCATGGCTGGACCAAACTTGATTGCTATTGGATCAAGTGAAGCTGCACAGAAAGCCCTCAAGGTAAAGCACATAAAGAAAATTTTCTAAACAACAAACTTGGGATTTTTGGTTTTAATCTCGCTCAGGGATGCTGGAATTTTAAAGTAGGTATAGATCAATGAAAGAAGAAATTGGCACATCTCAGCATCTCCTGTATGTGCAAACCATAAAGAATGTTTTTATCAGGCAAGAGAACAGTGATGTTAATTTAGCTTTAGCTATCTTCAGGAAATACATGGATTATAAAGGCTATTACTTACAGCTTTGTTGACAAAAAAGGTCATAACTTGGTGATAGGAGGGAGGAAGGAGATATCATCAGACCAGTGGAGATATTTACTTCAGGTGTTGCCATGAGAGAATGTGGCTTTTAAAATTGCCAGAGGGGAAGTAGAAGTTTTGACATGAAGGAGGCAGAGGGGTCTGCTCCCTGTTGCAGAGGTGACCTGTGTACACATTTTGCAGCGTAGGCTTCCTGGATAAAATCAGTAAGTAACTCCAGCTGCAAGGACCAGAGACCAGGACTCCTCATCTCTTCTTCCTCCATCACCTGGCTGCAAAATCAAGTTTCTTCCTGGTCACACTTTTTCCTTTCTAGTCCCATGAGGGACTCGTAACAGCATGGCTTCAACAGAAAGAAGGGAGAGTAGTCTCACCCCAGCCTGGCTGATAATTTGAGTCTCTGAACATCTTCCTTTAAAGGGCAAGTTGTGGGTTTGAACCCTCGGGCCAAGAAGCCTGGTGAATCTGGGTGTCTCTTCTCTGGCAGACATGAAAATGAGTAATCCCTGCATAGCAGGTCATAGCTGTACTACACCATCGTCCTCAATTGGAAATGTTTATAGCTGCTGTGGTTTGCACTGGGCTCAGTGGCTTTGCGGCCTGCTGGGTGTGTTCAGAGCAAATCTACCAAATCAAGCTTTTTCAAAGATGTGGGCACAGAGACACCTGAGGCCATGAATCTCATTATGCATATAAACAATGAGACAACTCACCTGAGAGATCAGCATCACTGCTCCTGCATGGTAACACAGCTGCAGGCACTGATGCTTTGCAGCAGAAACTTTGACTGGAGCACTGAAACAGCAAAGTGCCACTGAGACTTTACCTGAACTGAAACTTGATGGAGTTTGTCCCTCTTGATAAATTAGAATCTACTATCCTGCACACTTTGTTTTGAGCTGCAGGTAAGCCAGAGCATGTCTGAAAGCATTACAGCAAGTGTCTTACGCATTTTTATCAGGACTTGCCTTTAAAGGTGTCGTGGTTTAGGCCCAGCCAGCAACTAAGCAGCACATGGCTACTTGCTCACTTATCCCCACCACCAGTGGGATGCAGAGGAGAATTGAAGGAAAAATGTAAAAACCCACGGGTTTAGATAAGGGCAGTTTAATAGGACAACACGAGGAGAGAAATAATAATAATAGAGTATATGAAGAGAGTGACACACGATGCAGTTGTTCACCACTTGGAACCTGATGCCATTAGGTTCCCAACCTAAGATCCCTCCTAGTCCTTTGGCCAGCTCCCCCAGTTTATATCCTAAGCATGAATTATATACCCTAAGTCATATGGTATCAAATATCCCCTTGGCTCATTCCAGTCAGCTGTCTTGGCTGTGTCCCCTCCCAGCTTCTTGTGAAAATTAACTCTATCCCAGCTGAACCCAGGACAAAATGTTTAACCACAATTTACTTTTCAGTGGTGGCAGCAAGTCCTAACTTTTCAGCTTATAATTATACTGATTCTTTTGCCAATAAGTAAGAACCTGAGTAGAGGCTTTCCAGAAGCCTCCTTTATGCAACTTGATCACTCATGCATGGAGGAAGCCAGCTGTGTGTCCCTTACAATAAATGAGGAGGGGTGGAGATAGCTCTGCTGTACTAGTGAGAAAGCTCTTTGAAATCTGTTCAGTTTAAATGCAACTTATGCAACCTGACTTGTATCTCTTGCCCTGATTCTAAAGCATGAATTATTTTTAAGAACAGCACCACTATTGGTGCCCAAGGCTACTGATATGAATCTGTTCCAGGCAGAACATTTACAACAGAAATAGTATGTAACTCTGCAATCAACAGCCCTGGCCCCCAAATTGCTTAGGAACCCAACCTGCATGTCTTGTACACCACCTCCACTTCAGTAAGCTAGTGATATTTATTACTTTAAAACATCCTTAAATATTTGCAAGATGGAGGCCTGAGAGACTTCTTGTCCTTACTGCCAAGCTGCCATATTTCATTGCACATTTGCTTTTCATATCTCATACCATTTTCCTCATGGGCATAATCCTAGGACTTTTTCATTTCCCAGTAGCATCATTTTTACTATCAGAGCTCGGCAGAGATTTGGTGGTTGGCTTTTTTTTTTCCCTCTTTTATCTTGTGACAGTTCAAGATTTAAAATGTCTCAGTCCCCAGCTAAGATAAAACCAACATTTCAAATCTAAGAATCTCCCCTGCTGGACATGGGTTGAATTATGGAGGCCAGGAAAGTGCAGTCCTGGCTGGCTTAAGCTTGCAGCCTGGCAGCAATTAAGGGAATAGGATAGCAGCCTGATTGTTCTGCATGAGTTTAGCAGAGCTCTTAAACAAGAGGATGGTCCCTCGACTTCCCACATAGTTTGGAATGGCTTTAAGTTTGCTCATTCATTTGAACAAGCTGTCAAAATGAGTGTCTTATTAGAAATCACTACATGAAGCTCTGGAAGCACATTCCCATCTTATCACCCATGTCTTCTCCCCTGAGGAGCTTATGAGAAATTATTTTGTCTGTAAAGATCTGATATTCCTGGTGCTGTGAGATTGATTTTGTCTGGGATGGAAAGTGCCCTGCATCTTTCCCTGTGGAATATGCACTATCCCAAGTATTCAGGCTTAAATTCAAAATGCATCATGAGCATCAGCCTGATGAAGTTTGCAGATATCCAGACAGCCGTACACTTGTATAGAGTGTTTATAAACATGAGCAAAATTCAAGTACAATACTGGTTGCTCAGAGCTGCGATTTGAACTTGAGCCAGGACTAATCTGAGAACTCATCAGTTTGATTAAAGCCTCTTGCACAGCTCAGCTAATCGTGTTGCAGTGCATCAATTTAGCTATTGTAGCCAAAAATATTTTTTGGATAAGCTGATTAAATGTTGCTGGTAACTAGCTGTCAAGTAAACACCAGCATTAATCAAGGTACAATAAAAAGCAGATACATTTTTTAAATAAGGTGGTAATTAACAAGATAATCTAGCAGTCTGATTGTTGGTAGATATCTTTTAAAAAATAAATCAACTATGTCAGTTTTCAGTGTGTTTCTCTGCATCAGACGTTTAGCAGTGCGTTTATATGTGTGTGAGGGTAGTGTTTGCTTGCACCCTGCCAGCCAAGGTTAGGGACTCTGGCCCAGAGCAGTGGTTTTGTGCTGCAGCATGTGCCCTTCTCGTGCTCCTAGTGAGCTGACAGATTACATCAGGCAACCATGTCACAGTCAGAACAACATATGAAGTTACCCAGAGTGTGTTTCTTGCTCAGTGTGTTGGATCTGGCTCCACGCTCATCCTGGGGAACCTCTAGCTATTCTTCCAATCTCTTCCGTCAAATTATTGGAAAACAAATAGGCAAAGTCTCTGTCTTGGAAATGACAGAGTTGTCAGTGCTCCTTATCACTAGTTTCTTCTAATGTTTGAATTCTTTCTTTTTGACCTCAGTGATTCCTTTGTATTTGTTCACTTGCTTCTGAAGAAAAAAATTTAAGTTGGTAATCAGCTTCCTGCAGTCTTGTGGAAATGCAATTGCAAGAGGATCTCTATGAGGCACTGATATTCAGAATTAAAAGCTCCTCCCTGGATTTCACCACATTGACTGAGTTGTAGTGGTGCTGTCCACTGCTCCTGTCGTTACCCATCGCAGTCTGTGGCAGTACGGTCTCCTGAGCTTCCACCAAGTCATTTGCCTGGCAGAGCCCAGCATGCCACTCCTTTATTGTGTTAGAATGTTATTTCAAACCTGTCCTTTGTTGTTGCCATTTTTCATGTCTGGAAATGCAATCGTACAAGCAAGATGATTAAGCTGTCTTTAACCATCTCTCATAGTTGAGTCGTTTTCATTCTGTAGCATGTCTTGTTAGGCAACAAGTGAAATGCTACATCATGCTATGCTAACATTTTATATTTAAAATAGGATTTATCTTCCTGCTAGCAATCTTGTTTGAAAGAGAAATTTTTCTTGATTTCTTTTACTGATGCAACTCATGTATCCTTACTTTAAAAATTGAAAAAGAAGTTGCATCTGGTGCTCACATATGGCAGAGTGCAATTGATCGTGAGTTTAGTGCGGTGTGCATGATGTAAAGTGCTGCAAGTGAGTTAGGAAATGAGTGCATAGAGTTTAGGATTATAGAGCACATGCTAGAAGCAGATAATAAATCAGAAGTGACATTTTAACTGTGAAATCCTCTTCAGGCTCTGGCAAATACAGAATATTTATTTGGACTGCAGCTGAAAAGTGGCACTTGAGGAAACTGGGTGAGAGAGAGAGACAAATTAACTGCAGAATATACTAGGGCCTGTAGTGGCTATCACAGCTGAAACTTTAACTTCCCTCTGCTGTTTTCAGCATGCATTTAATTCCTTCTTATAGTTAATCCTGTTCAGTAATTCTGTATGCGTAATTCCGTAGTTGAACATTGGCCATGGCTGTTGAGCCAGTAAAGCCAGGGATTATTTTTCTGTTCCCTCAGTGAGGCCAGGATTTCCTCCAAACATGTCACCTTTGGGTTCTGATCCTGCACTGTTGGAGTTGCTGACATTTACCATGAGTGTGAATGAGGATGAATTCGGGCTCTGACAGTGCCAGCCCTGGCATAGGGAGGTGCTGGGGCAGTGCTGCAGGCAAATGCTCTGCACTGCTTCTTCCACAGAGAGGGACAGCCCTGGGGTCTTGCTGGGAGAGCAGAAGAGCAGAAACTGGCCTGGGACGTAATCCAGTTCAGGTTGCTGCTGCAAAGGCAAACACTAGGCAAGATGATGATGGG